AGTGACAAGCATTAGTGAGTGTTAATCTCAATTGATGCTTAATGATGAGTTGAAAAAGATTTGGTTTGAACTGTTATCTGACACACTTGGTAAATGTAAAGGAAGATGATTTCTAACTATTTCGAGGAAAATAATATCCCACGTATTGCTTTAAAATGGTTGTATTTACAATTTGGCATGTTCGTCAAGCCATGTTGCCGTGTTATGGCATGTAACTCTTGATTGAACCTTTACTTTCCTTATGTTGTAGATGACAAAGTGACTGTTCTGGAGTCAGAGAAGCGAGCTTGGGAGAATTCTCCTGAAGCTCAAGCACTGAGAGAAGATCTTGATCCTTGGAGAAATCATGATGCACAAGAAAGAAAAAGTTCCTAATGGAGCCACATCGAGGAATGGGTTTGATGTTGTTTGATTGTTTTGAATAATAGATGTCCCAAGCGCGACCAGAACTCACGAGTCTAAGTAACATAGGTTTCTACTGAGTTAGCAATGTCATTCAAATACTATGAGACAATTTAGGGTAGATCTGTCTGTTTTCGCCGGTTCTATTTCCAGAGAGCAATTTTATTGGTTATTTCCCAAATAATATCTGATATCATGCATTAGTAAATAACCTAGGAAAAGAACATTGGAAACATCCTTGTTGTTTATATAAGCATTGCATGGCTATATGAGTCTCAACCTGATGTTACAAAACTACTTCACAGTAGAAGTTCGGGTTTAGCTTGGTTCATCTGTTTTTCACGGTTTTTACTCATGTGCCGCCTGTGTGAGCCTCAGGTTAGCACAACAGGTTCGGAACATTGATACGAGTTACAGGGAGTTTCTCGAATTATTGAGACTGACTAGAAGCCTTGCTCAGCAACATAGTAGTTTCAAACCTCGTAGGAATACACGGTCCAGAGTTTAATTGTTAAAAAACAAATATATAATAAGGACAATTTGATCAAATATACATTCCAATAATCTTTTATTCCTTTAACCAAACACGATAATCTTACATTTCTGCTAAACTAACTAAACACAAAATACAACATTCTCAACAATCCTATTCACTGATAATCTTACATTCCCACTGGTAATCTTACATTCCGTGAATCAAACGCACCCTAAGAGAGTGATTAATTTTTTTGAAAGATAATTAAAAAAATAAAATTATCACACTTAATCAATTATACAAAAAAATTAATTATAAAATTTTAAAATACAATAAATCAATTATAAAGTTACTAATAACAATAACATGTGTAAATTATCCAATTATTAAATCATGTGTTTTGAAGATGAGATGAATAGAGGAGAACCAGAAACTGGGGTAGACATTGGCACATTGAAAAATTAGGTGACGATGCCTTGAGGAGAACCAGAAACTGGGGTAGACTTTAGAACATTGAAAAATTAGGTGACGATGCCTTGCGTGGGTTCTGACTTGGATTGACGTGCCATGTCCGGGAATACTCCATTTTATTACTCATATACAGCTATGTTTTGTTGTTTTCTTTTATTAAAAAAAAAACTTATTTTCATATCTTGACTCAAAGTTTGTCATTTTGTTACTTTGAGGCGATTTTTTACGAAAAATCAACTTTTTCTTAATGATTTATGTGTCAAATATCGTTAGAGAAAATATTACAGATCTAACACTTTTTACAGAAAACTACGGCTCATACACCACGCTTATGGCATCACCTGGGGAACATGTAAAGAGTAAATGTTAGTTTCGTAAATTTTTTAAAAATAATGCCTAATAGTAATTCATTTATGTTTACGATGATTTTTGTGTAAAAACATCAAATTTTTTATGTAAAAAAACTTTCTCTATTAAAATCTTTAAATTTTCTTTTATAAATTATTTTATAACTCAATTTTTTTTATTTTTGCATGAAATTACACAATTCGTATAATTTAGTATAGAAAAACTTTGAGGATAATTAATTAAAATATGAATAATTTTATAAAAGTTTTATAACTAGTATTTCTTTTACAAAATGATGATGATGATGATGATGATAATAAAAATATTTTATAATTTAAAAAAGTTATAAATTTCATATATTTTTGAAAAAATTATTGACTTTTAAAATTAATTGTTTAAAAATATAAAAATATAAAAATAAACTTTTAATTATAATGGAGGGATCAAATGAATTATTATTCATTAATTATTATTTTTTTAACAATAGTTAATAATGTTTATTCATGTTTAATGAAATTAAAATTAAATATTTATTTTATTTTTTTTAAAATTAATATTAGAAAGAATATTTTAAATATATATGTGATATTTTTAACTTTACATTCTCTTTTTATTGAAAAAAACTCACTTTTAATTTTTTTATTGTATTTTTATTGAATTTTAAATATATGAGTTATAATTTAAATTAATCATTTATTCTGTTATTCATCATCATCATCAACATTTATAAATTTTTTAAAAATATATGAAATTTATAATTTTTTAAATTATAAAATATTTCTTATCATTATCGTCATCATTTTGTAAAAGGAATACTAGTTATAAAACTATTCATATTTTAAATTACTTACCCTCGAAGTTTTCATATATTAGATTATACGTATTGTGTAATTTCATGCAACAATCAAAATTTGTCGAGTTATAAAATAATTTGCAAAATAATATTTAAAGATTTTAATGCATAAACTTTTTTTGACACACAAAAAATTAAAAAAAAATTGACGTATTTATACAAAAATTACTCTAACATAAATTAATTATATATTAGACACTATTTTAAAAAACTTTACATAACTAGCACCTGATTTTTACACGTACAAAAGGTGTTAGATCCATAATATTTTCTTTAACGGTGTCTGACACATAAATAATAAAAAAAATGTAATTTTTCGGGAAAATCGCCATTTTAAAATTTTGATTCTTGATTTGATCTTATTTTACGCAAATTAGAGTTATTAGTTTAATGAAATTTTACATATATATATATATATATATGTGTGTGTGTGTATAAATGGTATAAAATTTAGACTTTATAATTTTATTTATTTTAATCTGAAATCTTAAATTTCAGAGATGGGCATAGAATTTTATATTAAAAGTGTAAATTTTTAAAGAATTATATAAAAAGGTAAGTTTTTCATACAGTTGTGGAGTTTCGTCTTGTTGGATAATTACTTGATTAGACTTTCTTTTCTCTTCGTCTACTAGTGATTTTAGAATATAATAAATAATTAGATATTGTTTTATCATGTTTTAAGTTGTGTATGTATAATTTACACAATTGTTTTAATATTGTCATCAAATATCTTTTAAAATTTATAATATATTTTATGTTTGTTTAATAATTCATATTCAAGGTTCATAATTTTATTATTATTATTATTATTATTATGTTATCTTCAAGATTTAAATCTATATTTTTTAAGTGATGTGCTTTATCAATGCACACAATAATTATCGGTAAAAATATTTAATATACCACTATTACTTTTAATAAATCTATGGTTTACAATAAAATTGAAATTACTTAGTTTTTAAGTAATTTTCAACTTCTGATAAATGTTAAGTATATTTAGATTTCCATTATCCATAACTTCATAGTAACATTGTTTTTGCATCAAACTATTCTTCACTTCAACATTGTTAAATTAGTTTTACTACATATTAGAGTGTAATCGTGTCAAATTGAACTCAAATTATCAAAAGATTAATTTAGAACCTTAGTCATGGTACTCTTATTGATCTTCATGAAATTCTATTTCCAATGCACGAGTTTAATTTTAATATAAATATCGAACCATCAATCTCTTTAAATTTTAGATTCATTTATCTTAAAAAAAAATAAATTAGACATTCATATCTCTGATTTTCAACTTGATTTATGGGTTCGAATTTGATTTGAATTAAAATTATTTAAAACTAAAAGAGGTATACTAACAAATAAAATTTCAAATAGATTTCCAAAGTACTTCAATCAAACTTAAAATATTTAAATCCATTTTCTTTCTCAATAATTTGAACTCCAAATGATGATTAAATTAAATTCAAATTCTTTACAAAATCAAATATAAATACCTTTATAATATAGTTGTATGATTTATACTACGTCTGAATATACTTAACAATAATATTGGTTCAAACATAAATACTTATTAAAAAAATCTGAATAATATAATTTTTTTAACAATTATCAATATTTAATTTGTTAAACAATTAATCTAAATTAATATCATAAAATTACTTAAATTCAACCAACACTTTATCATGATAAATAATCATGATGTTTTGTATGCAAATTTGACAACTTAGATTTTAAAATAGGGTAAACTACATATTTAGTACTTCAATTATCAATTTTACTCCATTTTGGTCACTCAATTAGTTCCTTTTCAAAATCATACCTAATGTTTAGTTATGGTTTCATTTTAGTCATCCACTGTTAAAAAATTAACGGTGATGCTGAATTTCATCACAAGATAGTGCCACATCCTCATTAAAAAAAGAAACATACCACATCAATATTTCTATTAATTTTTAAAGATCAACAACCAAAATGTAAAGTTATGTATGATTTTTTTAAATAGTTGTGTGACCTAAACGGAATAAAAGTGATAGTTTGGACACTAAACGTATAGTTTACCCTTTAAAATACTACCTAATCAAGTTGCATGACAATTTACCCAATGATAAATTGCGGCGCCAATGATTAATTAATAGTATGAAACATTACAGTCCATACTTTATCAAACCACGTCAGCGACAGCTTCGTTTCCGCAAAAAAATATATATATATATACAGCTCTCTGCTTATCTGCTAATGGCGGCCTAATCTCCTTCCTCCAACTTTCTCTCCAATAATACACAACCCGACAATTCAATTATTAAATAAATATTTTATCCCATCTACGATGAAATTTGGGTCAATCAAGGAATCCACGATAAAAATATCTACGTGCCAAAGGAAATAGTGCAGAAATCTTGGTGATGTTGTGTATATAAAGCTCGTGTATTAGACCTTTGTTTTCCACCCACACCATCTGTTTGAAATTTTGTTTGTGGGTCTGGGGTGGTGTTGAAACACTAGAGAGATGGCAATTGGGCAGTTTAAAGATGTTGAAAGCGGTGAAATCAAAGGGCTTGAAGATTTACAGAAGCCATTGATTGTTGTTGTTGAAGAAAATGAGAAGGTTGTTGTTGTTCATGGGAATGGTAAAAATGCTGGTGATGAAAATGGGTCCATTTGGATGGTGTTGCTCTGCACATTTGTTGCTGTCTGTGGCTCATTTGAATTTGGATCTTGTGTAAGTTCTTTCAGTTTGAAATTTCATGTTTTTTTGTTTGTTTAGCTTTTTCAGATCAAAATTTTCATGTTTGCGGAATTCCCATGTTTAAACAAAGTTCATGGTTGCTAAAATGTTTTCCATTTTCTTTTCTTTTCTTCTTTGCGTTTTTGTTTATTTTTAGGAACCAATACTAGAAAATGTAAAAACAAAACCACAACCGAAAAAAACCAGACCAAAAAGGTTTGTTTAGTTTAAGTTGTTCTTTTGGCAGGTGGGGTATTCAGCACCCACTCAATCTGCTATCAGGGAAGATCTTAATCTATCTCTAGCTGAGGTTAGCCTTCTATTTACTACAAACAAATTGCTACATACTTCCGATATTTAGGTTTATCGACGGTATCTCGACCGTCACTAATTTGTTGTCGGATTTCCTTTTCCAGTTTTCAATGTTCGGTTCCATCTTAACCATTGGTGCAATGCTTGGTGCTGCCACTAGTGGTAGGATTGCAGACATGATTGGTCGAAAAGGGGTATGTTCTGTTTCGGAATTGAATTGAAAAAAGTATATTGCAAATGATAATTGTACTAAATTTCTGCAACTGCAATGGAATCAGGCAATGAGATTATCAGCTGGTTTTTGCATCACTGGATGGCTTGCTGTTTATTTCTCTAAGGTTTACACTTGGTGTTCTTCATCTCAGAGAATTTAGGATTTAAATTGGATAGAAAGTACCCAAAATTGCGTGGATCCTATTGCAGGGGGCTCTTTCACTGGATGCTGGAAGATTTTCCACTGGTTATGGCATTGGAGTTTTCTCATATGTGGTAATTTTTTCCCCTCAGACAATAAGCATTTCTTGATGAATATACTGAAGTTGCTAATCATTTTCCCACTAAACAAACAGGTCCCAATCTTCATAGCTGAAATAGCACCAAAGAATCTCAGAGGAGGGCTCACAACATTGAATCAGGTTAGAGAGCTCGGTAGAATCGTGTGCAGTGATTTAAATAGCATCTGCAACTAATATTTGCTACTGGAATATTTCCTGGAGCGCCGGATGGCGCGGTTGTCGTTTAAATGCCCTTTCTTTCCATTGCAGCTCATGATTGTTACCGGTTCATCGGTTGCATTCTTAATAGGAACAATCATACCTTGGAGGGCACTGGCTCTAACCGGTAACCCTAATTATCCTTCAAGATTTTTGAATCGAAACCCAAAAAACATAAAGGATTGTTAGACGCTAAACGTTGGTTTTTTATTTTTGAAGGACTCGTGCCCTGCATTTTCCTGTTTGTTGGCCTGTGTTTCATACCTGAATCTCCAAGATGGCTGGTAAACATTTAAATGGAATATATTACATTCATATAAGAAAATAAAGACAGGATATATACATGCATATATATATGTGTGTGTGTGTGATTTTTGAAACATTGTTGATTGCAGGCAAAGGTTGGCCTCAACAAAGAATTTCATGTTGCTCTTCGGAAACTTCGAGGCAAAGATGCCGATATCACTCAAGAAGCTGAAGAAATTCAAGTAAATTTCATTAACCGGACTCGTAGATACCTTTCGAAATATGTGTTAATACTTCGGGAAAAATTAAGAGTCCGGATAATATAGGGATAGACTGTCCTTGAAATTATATTTAAGGCCAAGTTAACAATTTTTGGTGTCTCAACAGATGTACATTGAAACTCTTGAAAGCCTACCAAAAACTAGAATATTGGATTTGTTTCAACCAAAATATATACGATCTGTGATGGTGAGAGAATCCATTCTTTATCTCTGGTCAATTCAAGATTGTTGTTTAAGTGGTTTCCATTATATATTTTTCTTTTTTTATATATGATTTTCAGATTGGAGTCACATTAATGGTTTTCCAACAATTTGGAGGAATTAATGGAATAAGCTTCTATGCAAGTGAAACCTTTGCATCAGCTGGTAAATAAATTGATTTTAAGTAACTTATTCCAATGTCTGTTTGTCATTAACCTTTCATGTTGAATTTTTTTTTTATTCTTTAAACAATTTCCAGGGCTTTCTTCAGGAAAAGCTGGAACCATAGCTTATGCTTGTCTTCAGGTAATTAATTTTCCCTCTTTTTACTGCATGAACCGACTGAAATATGAGTTCGAATAAACAAATTCAATGATATTTTCTTACTGTATGTATATTTAGGTCCCAATAACTGTGGTGGGAGCAATGTTGATGGACAAGTCAGGAAGACGACCATTGATAATGGTAAAAAGTTAATCCCAGAAATTTACTTTTACTTTCTTTACATATATGAAATTTGATGGGAAAACCTGGGATGAAAATATCTATTCCGCCATTTTCAGGTTTCTGCAACTGGCACATTTCTTGGTTGCTTCCTGGCTGGCACTTCATTTTATCTCAAAGTAAGCCATAATAATTGTCTATCAATGAAATAATTTCATGTTTTTGATTCAATTTGTTGGACCTCTTTCATTATTTATATGAATCAGGAGCAGAGTCTTTTGCCTGAATGGCAACCAATATTAGCTGTTGGTGGAGTCCTTGTAAGTAAATCATCCTACATTCTTATTATATGCACATACGTACGTACGTACGTATGTATGTATGTATGTACTTGTATATTTGATTTTCATTTTTCCCCATTGAAATCAGATATATGTAGCATCCTTCTCAATTGGAATGGGAGCAGTTCCTTGGGTGATAATGTCTGAGGTGAGTACACTTTAAAAGTTAACAAAACGGAATTGAAACGATTAACCTGAAATAACTTGAATTCGATGTTCTTCGTGTCAGATTTTCCCGATAAACGTTAAGGGAGTAGCTGGTAGTTTTGTGGTGCTGGTGAACTGGTTAGGTGCATGGGCAGTCTCTTACACTTTCAACTTTCTAATGTGCTGGAGTTCATCAGGTAAATGAACTGATAAAACAAACCTTTCAACTTGTCCAGAAAACCTGGAAATGTGTTTTTTTTCAGGCATGAACTCTGAAACATGTTTTTGATTTTTCCGTTTCAGGAACATTTTTTATATACTCAGGATTCTGTGTAATGACCATCCTATATGTAGCCAAATTTGTCCCAGAAACTAAAGGGAAAACACTGGAAGAAATCCAGGCATCCATAAATTCATAATGGGAAAAGAAAATTTCATTTTTGCAAGAAAATTTTGGATCAATTCGTTTGATTTCCAAGTCAAGACAGGGCAATGATTGGATTCCAAGAAAATTAGTTCTGGAAATGATTATGCAGCTCTACCTGTTATTTTAGCTTTTTTTCCACTTATTTATTCAATAAGTTTCAGGATGTATAATATATGATTTATATTTTAGATCATTATATTTAGTGTTAGTATTGATTTGTCGTTGAAATGCACTGGCGGGTTGTAATTTTCAGAAGAAGATGCCATGATTTTGATTAGGGAAAGATTTGTCTCTTATTTCCATTTATGTCTTTGGATTTGGACTAGTTTTGTTTTGGTGTAAAAGGTGATGACGTCAAAGTTTGAATCAATTAAACCATTAAAATCAAATAAATTGAATTTATTATATTGTCAATATTAAATAAACCGAACCAAACTTCTCAATTAAACCGAAATAATTAATAAATTGAATAAACCGAATTTATACATATTTTTTCTTTTTACGGTTTATTTATTTGTAAATACACAAAATTCAATTCAGTAGTTTTATTTATTTTTAATAGAAAGTAATTAAAATGGAATGAAAATGTAATATTATATATGATTTTAGAAAAAAAAATTAGGTGACCAAAATAAATTTACGAGAATAAATACATAGTTTACCTTAAATTATATTTAGGTATTTAGTTATTGAATATTTGAAAATCGAGCTGAGTATGAATATTTGTTTTTAAAACATAAATATACATATTTTCAACAGTTTAAAATTATTAAATTATAAAATAAATATTAATAAATCCGGAATGAATTTGAAGTTTATTTTATTCATGAATAAAATATTAGACATTTTATAAATAAATTACAAAATAAAATACAAAAGCCTAGTATTTCATTATGCATTTCTTGAAGCAGTAATTCACATATTCAGCTGCATTCTTCTTATCTGCAAGAAAAGGAAAAAAAAACATAAGTTTTCTCATAAAAAATCATTGGAAATGGTATTTGATACAAAACAAAAGAGTAAACTTTACCGGATTTGATGATTTCGGGCATGGATTTTGCAAACCGACTAGTACAATTAAAGATCAGGAACGAGTAACGGAGAAAACATTTCGCTTTACAGACTTGGTTGCATAATTTGCGAAGAAGAGGGAAGTTTTCTTTGCGCCATTTCGTCGAACATTTGTATTTACAAGTATTTCTTGGATGTGATGGTGATGGTGATGGTGATGGTGGTGGTGGTGGTGCAGGAGATGGAGGGGCCGATATGATTTCACGGCGTGCATCTATTTCATAAGGAATCTATTAGGTTTCAAAATACTCATCGGGATATTCAGATTCTTGGAGAAATTCAAATTCTGGAAACTGAGAAGTTTTCTCGGGAAAGTTTTGGATTTCAGATTTTGAAAGAAAAGTTTCTTCAGGATTTGATTCGGGAAAATATTGGGGTTGGTAAGAAAATTCGGAAGCATCAGAATCCAGAGGAAATCCAGATTCATAATCGAAAGGGACGAATCCATGAACTTGAACTGCAGCAAGAACAAGCAAAACAGAAACATATTTCAGGAAAAATGCCTTATTGATTGTTTCCATTGTTTCAAAAAATATTAAGCTTTTGATGAAAAACTAAGCTGAAAAACAAGAAATTTATATGCCATGAGTCAATTGGAATCATGCCATTGATTGTTCCATAATCGCTAATTAACAGATGATTGATTTTAAAACATTGATCAAATCCCTTAAAAGTTTCCAAAATTCAAATTATTTCAAAACTCTACTCCACAACTTCTTCGAGAATATGCAATCCAGAAACGCATGATCCCTTGATTTCATCTCAACATGGCAAATAGAGTATAAATCATCAATATTCATACCCTAAACTAGCAATCTGTATAAATTATCCAGAAAGACGAATCACATTACAAAGTTTTTAGGCAGAGTCAAAACAAAATTCGAATCACATACTCTAACACACAATTATTGTCCAAATTTGTTGAATCAAGCTAGCCTTGTTCCAACTGCTCATGTATTTAAGACCCCAAGCCACCTTCTACCCTTGAAGGGCATAGATTTTCCCACTTAATTCTCGCTCGTTTAATTGGTTCATACCTTCTACCCAAACATTTATCCTTTCAAAGATGGACAAAAATCTCTCTCTATCAATTTTCGAGAAATTTAAGGTTTGAATAGTTACATCTACAAGATATGTGCATGTTGTTAATAATGAAGAAAAATTCTGAACAAATATTATCTTATAATCACTCTTAGACTATTCAAAATAAAAGTTAACGTACATATTGAACTCCAACAATATAACAAGAGATCTTTTAGTAGACTATTCAAAATAAAAGTTAATGTACATATTGAACTCCAACAATATAACAAGAGATCTTTTAGTAGAGATCCTATAATAACTTATTTTTTTTGAAGAATATTTGGATGTGATATTTTCAAATTCAAAATGGGAGAATTTCTATGTTTGACTACTAATTTTCAGTTGTTGTCTAGACTGTCTATAATCTCACATTGATTATTTTGACTGTCTTATACGATTAATTTAGAGATAAATTTAGGAGATTGACAGATAATCTATTGGTCAAATCTAATTATATATTTTTTGTTGGACATTTTTAGCTCTTCCTCACAAATAAAAGTCATTTTGCTTGTCATAAAGTTTCCCGGATCCGTTAGACTTAAAAAATTTATTTTGGGAAAGGCGATGAAATTCAATATGGAAAACGATTTGCTTATGGAGTCGCCACCAACCATTAAGTTAGATAGGTTGGAAACCTTAAACGTCAAAAAATGGTTTGCATTTTACCAAAGATTCGTTTTTAAGAGTTCGAGAGTCGGTTACGTGCGGGGAAATGTTAGTACCCCCACAACGCCCAAACTTTGGTACCTAAACGATTATATATTATTTGAATATTGGGAATTACAAAATTGAAAATATATTTAAATTACGATCTTTTTATTTATTCGAATTTATTTAAAAAGTGTGAACAATCTTCGAGAAAGCACTTCCTTTGTAGTTAGGAGACTTTCCCATAGATTCCCCTCACAAAAACGTTATTTCACAAATTTCGCCAAGATAAAATAAAATAAAATGAAAATCGATGAAAAATACTCAAAATAAATAAATGTAGAACAAATAAAATTATCGAATACAAAACAACAATTATGCAAAAAAATCCTTGAAAAGATACATTCCCTTTAGTTGGGAGATATCTTCGTACGTAGATTTCCCTCACATTGAAACTTTTTCATTTTCGTATATACATGAAATTATAACGATCGATAAAACACAATTACAAATTTGGACTAAAATGCACATTTACAAACAGGACAAGCTAAAATACAAATAAAAATAAACATGCTTAGTAAAATAAAGGACTAAATAGAAAAAAACAGAAATTTACAGGATTAAAACAACAAAAATAGAAACTTAAAGGATTAAAATAATAAAAAACAGAAAGTTAAAGGACTAAAATAGGAAAAATAGAAAGTTAAAGGACTAAAATAGCAAAAAATAAAAAGTTTAGGGATTAAATTAGTATTAATAGAAACTGGAAGGACCTATTAAAAATTATGAACAAATCAGAGCCCCAATAATAAATTTGAAATAAATAAAGATACCATAAATGAAAATAACCCAAAAATCATATTAAGGACTAAAATAAAATAACCAAAAATATGAAGGACTAAAAAATAATTAAACCATACCAAGCAGTGACTAAAATAAAATATTTACAAATGACATGACCAAATTCAAATATTAACAAAAATAACAAAATAAGTAAGAACATGCCTAAAATATAAACAAGGAAACATTAGTTCCCGAAATCAAATAAATGAAACTTCATTAAAGGGCTACAACATGATATTACAAAGCATGGGGGACTTAAAACATAATTACCCCAAGCATGAAAACACATATGGGTGATGTAACATCCCAAACTATGGGTTAGTGACTTAGTTGTAAAGTTTCAGAATTTGGTGATTAAAGTAGAAGAATTGGTTAGTTCAATGATTTATCTGGAAATAAATTCTAAAAGATGTTAGTAATTATAAAAGGTATTAAAGGGAAAAAGGGTCATTTGACCAAGAGATGAATTAAATAATGTTATATATATATGGATAAGGATGGGAGATTTTCCAGAAATCTCTTCTCTCTTTTCTTCTTCATTTTCTCTTCTCCACGTGAAAAACTCAAAGCAAAGGTGAGTTCTCTAATTTCTTGATTGTTTGTTGATTTTAAGCATGAGTTTTGATCCTTAGAGGATAACTAAGCTTAAGGAAAGCTTAAGTTATCTTAAAATCAAAAGATGAAGAAGTTATAAGAGATTTAAGAAAACGAGTTTTTATATGGAATCATGGAATAGAGTTGATAAGTTGAATTTTAAGTTGAATTTGACTTGTCATCTATGAGAATAAGAAGATAGAAGTGTTAGAATTGTATTTAGAACATATGGAAAATTAAGTATGATTCTTGAATTTCATATGAAGGATAGGATTTTGAAGTTATAGCTGATTTTCATGGATATAAGTTAGTTTAAGTAATGGTAGTTGAGTTTAATGACATGGTAGGGGTTTAAAATAGAAGAATTGAATGAAAAATTGATGATTTTCGAGCTTAAAATATAATTTCTGGGTAGAGGGAACCGATACCCTATGAATGGGAATCGATTCCCCCTCTTGAACGAAAAATTCCAGTATGTTCAGGGGGTATCGATTCCCCTGGGGGGTATCGATTCCCCCTAAATGAAAATATAGAATTTGATTCATTAAACCGGTTTAAGTTATTAACATAAAGTTTAAAGTTTAGGCTTCTGATAGTTGTTTTGAAATGATATATTTATGTAGATATTGAGCCTAAACAAGTTCCGGAATAATCAAAGGATTATAATCGAATCAAAGCAAGGCTAAGGTGAGTGCATCTTATTTTATAGAATTATATGGAAATTGGACTTGTGATAAGTCTATTTCCTATAGTTATAGTGCATGAAGTCTTGATTATAAGTATGTGAATGACATGAAATGTATGTATGCTTGATTATATGTGTTGACATGTTTTTGTATGTAATGATATGATGACAAGATATAAGATATGCGACAAGATATCTGTAATACATAAAAAGGTGATATAAGTTGTGTAATAAACCATGTGAATTGATATAAATAATTTGGAGAATAAATAGAAAGGTGGGATAAAATAAGTAGTATTTACTTATAAGGTAAAAGGAGATTATATGAACAGATAGTATTGATAGGTCACATAAGACTACATGTCCATCTTTTAATGTAATAAAAGTGTATATGTGAAATGACATGATAGGTGATAAAAATCGTGAGCCTATATGAATATGTGATATATGTGATGTATGGGAAACATATGAGAACAAGATATGACAATGATTTACATGTCATATGAACACCAGAGAAGTGTTATTTCCTATAATTATAGTACATGAAGTAATAAATTTAAATATGTAAATGACATGATTTTTATCATGTATGAATTCATGAGTAAAAACATGTGTGAATATGATTTGTATGCATTATGTCATGTGAACATAAGAGGGCAGAGCATAAATTATATGATATGAGATATATGAGAAAAGGTACATGTAATATGTGAATTATATGTTTATGTGAATATGTGATATGATATGATATGAGATTCATAAATACATGTTTATGAGATATATGTTTACACACACATATGGTATGTGATAGAAGAGAATGAACATGTGATTATAAGATCAATGATTACACGTACATTTGGTACGCGATTGAAACGAAAAGATATATGTTCATAAGAGAAAGGATATGAATAAGTAAATTGACTGTTATAAATGATAATGCCCATGTTATATGATAAGAGAACTAGTGGTATAGTTGACATGCCAAGAGTTGAGGGTATACCTATGTTCTACGGAACATATGGACAGAATTACCTATGTCTTTCGAGACATATGGACAGTAAACCTATGTTCTAAGGAACATATGGACAGTTTACCTAGGTTCTTCGGAACATATGGACAGTTGCCGAGGATCTTTATGACCTCTGGATAGTTACCGAGGTTCCTTGTGACCTCTGGATAGGTCCTTCGGGACATTGATCGAGCTGTGGTAACAACATATGTGTGCACAACCTCAATGTACTCACATACCTTAGGTTCTCACTAGTGTACATGGGCTAATAAAGAGATTAAACAAACATACTGAATGTGATATGTATACGATGGGTTTATAAATGGTTATCAAAGGTAAATGGTTTGAAATGTGTTAGATGAACCATATGATGTTTTGTGTGTTTCTTAATGATAATGATAGAGATTATGATAATGATGGTATATGTTTATGTATGCTTTATGTTATGTGAAATATTATATGTTTTATATGCCTCACTAAGTCAACGACTTAGCGTGTGATTGTTTCACACGTAGGTTTCGAGAAGAGTAAAGAGTATTGCGGAGCAAGACATGTCAGTTCTCCTTACCAAATGTCAGATCAGAAAATATATGTATTGTATATAGAGTGTAGTTGGCATGTAGTCTAAAGATATAAATTGTATGAACTCTGATATATTTTATAAACGTTTTGAATAAGTTAAATGTTATAAAAGTTTTTAAATTACTCACTATTTTATACGAATAAATGTTTGAAAAGTCAATGTGACACTTCGGACTCGTATCCGGGTCGGATACGGGTTGGGGGTGTTACAGGTGAAGTGCCAAAACGACATCGTTTTGGTTTGTGTATTTAAACCGAAGCCCCAACTCTCATCACCCCTCATTTCTCTCATTGCATCAAACAAAAATAGAGAGAGAGAAAAAAAGCTCTCTCAACTTTCCCTTGTTGGGGAGAGAAAAGCAGTTACCGCCGGCGTTAGCCACGGCGGCTCGCGGCGGAGCCTACGACGGCGCATGGCGGCCGGAATAAGAGAACTTCCCAGAATATCCCTCTCAACCCCCTCAGTTCTGATCTAAAGATCTTTTTCCCTAAAAATGACCATAGAAACCCAGATCTAGCGATATACCTTTCGGACGAAAAAGAAAATCCGGTGACTTTTGGTGTTCCCGACGGCTTGTCCGACCAGGGTAAGAGTTATTTCATTCTCTCTTTGCTTTTCTTTCTTTTTTCTTTCTGAGTTTTTCTGTATTTTCTTTTTCCTTTTTTTGTTCGAATGAACTATGCTTTTCTCACTCTTTTTCCTTTAAGACCCTAAATTGTTTTTTTTGTATTTTCTCTCCATTTTTTCTCTGCCCTCTCTCTATATTTTTTTTACCCCGAATCCTTCTCTCTCCTCTCCTCTCTCTGTCTTCTCCTCCCTCTTTTATGTTGATGCATGTTGATATCAAGAGGTCAATCCCTCGGGATTTTGAGTGTGATTTGTTTTGATATTTTATTGGGGTTTTCTGATGGATGTTGTCCTTTGACTGATTGAGGCACTGTTGGGGCAGATGGGAGCAGTCGGCGGTGACAGCATCAGAGACTGGCGGCAGTGGTGGCATCATACCATAGTGTTAGGGTTTCAGAAACCCTAGGGGACCGGTCGGATCCGGGTCACTGGGCCGATTCGGGTTTTGCTAATGGGTTTGATGGGTCTGCTCTGGATTCCAATTGGGTCGGGTTTGAGTTGTAACGGGGATTGGGTAGGTTAGCTGGGCCAATTGGGCTTGTATGTTATCTGGGCTCCGGATCTGGGTCTGTAAACAAAAAATGTAAATAATATTAATAAAAATAACCATAATAATAATAATAATAATAATAATAATATAATATAATAATATTTTGGTAGACTCGGAAAAAAAAAACGGGTGTCTACATTGCTCATTTCAAATCACTAAAAAAATAAAAAAAATATTTCTTTTCGCTTGAGTTTTTTGCATTTCTCCAAATATTTCATTTGCCCATTCCAAGAAGAGTCATACCTGTAGTTTTCATTTCAGATTTTAGGTGTAAAAAATTTCTGAATAACCGTGTTAATTTCAAGATGTAGAGTCTATTTGAAGGATTACACAAATCCAAACGATTTTGCTTCCAAGATTGTAATACATGAAGAAATTATTCTATCTTATTTGTTTTTATTTTAATTTCCTAATCAGTTCTAACAAATTATTTGCAGTAACACTATTATTATCAATGATTATTGTAAAAAAAAAAGGGAAATAAGGTCTCTCTATATCTTATTCCCTTTAAGCCTCCATTTACAGTACTGACATGATGTTTTGCCAACAACGAGTATCAATGTGATATGGAAAATACGCATCGAGTATCGAGTTGCATCCACCTTTTATGTTGTTATTGAGGGTCTACTCACCTGCTTTGATTGGTCGAATAGCATTAGATTTCTCTGGTGTATGGACCAGCCTTCTTGTTCGCTCGTCTGTAAGTTGAGCAACATTAAGGCGTGCGTTTGACGCTTGTGGATATCTGTGGTTCCAGTCATGTATGTGCGTTTTGAGCATGGTGAGGGATCAAGCTTTTATAGTTTGCACGAATGGGATTGGTTGCCCTTGGTCTTTGCGTAATAGTAAGTTTGAACAGTTCTGTGGTTGAGGGATCAGTTTGGAAGAGTTTACTTATGGCTCCATCTTTTATATTGATGTTGCTGAATATTCTCTATTGTTGGATGGGTAGTGTTTATAGGTCTGTGTGGGGGTTTCTTCATTCATTTGTAAGTTTAACAAGGCACGCTCTTTTCCTCCATTCATGGTGAGGACCTTATTGTTGTTGTTCTGTATGTGTTTGTTCCTTAATGACATATAAAACACCTTTTAAAAAAACTGAAATTCAATGTTATACAAATAATTCACATCTCGATAATGATTTTAAAAGCAGTTCATCTTAACTAAATAAAAACTTGCCAATCAAAACAATTCCTGACTAATCTAACTCGATCAACATACTGTTTATCTTATCTAATTCACATCCCTAATACAAATACACATGATGAGGTACATACAAAATCCAACAATCAAAGCAAGGGAAAGATAAATAACCCATTCGTAAACCAATGTCAATTAAATACGCGGTGTATTATTCTTGGGCAGTTATCAATGTCAATTAAACCATAAACTTCCTAATAAAATTTAGGGTAAATTATATCAGGTACCACTGAATTTTGAGCATTTTATCACTTATACCAATGATCTTTTACTTTTGACAATTATAATATTAAACTTTGATTTATTTTCAATTATACGACTCCGTCATTAAACCGCAAACAACACGAGACATGATATACAACTACTTACTTGGATACGACATGAAAGTTACCTCATTTTAATGTGACTTTTTTTATGCTTAAAATGAATCAAAACAACATTATTTGTATAATGTGTTAGTATTGATTTTATATATAATACGAAATTATATCGTATTCTTGTTTTTAATTTTTTTATCTAATTAAAATATTTAAAAGTTTAATCAATAACATTTTATTTAATTATTGAATAAAAATTTAACAATTTAAAATAAACTATATAAAATTAAATATTAGAATATATAATTATAAATAAAAATAAGGCTAATATTTCGTTACGCACTTCCTGTAACAGTAATCGACGTATCGAGCTGCTTTCTTCTTGTCTACAAAAAACAAAAATAAAGGAAAACGATTAGATTTATTATATATATAAAAAAATGAATATGAAACTCGTAACTAAAACATAAGAATGTTCATTACCAGATTTGAAGATTTTAGGCATGGATTCTGCACAACGACTAGTACAATGGTAGATCAAAACCGAGTAACGGAGCAAACATTTCTTCTTGCAGACTTGGAGGCATAGGTTGCGAAGGGGAGGAAAGAATTCTTTGCGGCATTTCAACGAACACTTGTGAACACAAGTGTTTTCGGGAATTGATGACGATGGCGATGGTGATTCTGATGGCGATGGAGATGGTGTTTCTGATGGCGAAGGAGCAGGAGATGGTGGAGGGTATTTGATTTTACGGTGAGCATCGGTTCCATATTCAAAAGACTCTTCGGGGTATTCAAATTCTTTGGGAAATCCATTATCAGAAAACTGAGAAGTTTTCTCGGGAAAATTTAGGATTTCTAAAGAATCATAAGGACGTTCAGATTCAGAAAATTGGGTTTCTTGGAAATCCTGAGGAAACTCAGATTGTGAAAGCAATGAAGGTTCTTCAGAATTTGATTCAGGAAAATATAGGGATTCAGAAGAAAACTTTGAAGCTTCAAAATCCTGAGGAAATTCATATTCAAAATCAAAGGGCTCAAATCCATGGACTTGAGCAGCAACAAGAACAAGCAAAGCAGAGAGTAATAAAAATGATTTCTTCATTGTTTCTATTGTTTCAAAACTTTAAGCTTTTGATGTGAAACTGAGAAAAAAATGAAGAAATTTATAGCCTTTGAATCGATTGAAATTCATGCCATTAATTGGTCCATAATCGCTAATTGACATATTGATTTTAAGAGATTGAAGAAATCTCAACTTTCCAAAATAGTCATTTCATATATTATCAGTGAATTAATTTCTGAATACTTTCCTTAAATATTTACATGATTTCCCACAAATCATAAACTATCCAATCCTTGATTGCTTCCTTTTTTACGAATGAGTTACCGAATATATTTTTTTTAAATTTAGTCATGCCTTCCTTAATCGAAATTAGCGTCATAAGGCGATTACATTAAAAATGAAAGAAGAAAATGCAGAATCGAAAAACAAAGCTACGGCCGTTTGAGAAACATAATTAGCTAAATTATGGGCTGCACCGTCAGCTTCCCGGATCGGTAACACAAGAGACACCCACTAAGGGTTGCATTCATGGCAGCCGTAACAATCAGTGAAACGGTCTCAAGGATCACGTATGTGGGCAGTAGGTGGGGTAGAAGTGTAGCTGAATATCATGCAGTCTTCCACCCAGAAGTGTAGAGACCTCAACTGGAATTCCGCTTACGGCGGCTACAAGACCGAGAGTGGAAATATGCAGTGTTTTTATCTCCTTGCGCAAGCCATTGCTCCCGGGAGCGTTGCCGCCAATAAGTTTCCTCGATGGAGAGACGTCGATGAACATCATCTTTAAGCCGACTTAACTGCAGCAAATCAGACTCGGACATTAGTCCTTGAAGAAGACGGTTGATACGTGGCCGGAGTGCAGCAATACGCCCCCTTGTTGGATGTCGAACGATATTGTTGCCATTCGAAGAGGGAAGTATCTAGAAGAGAAGATTATAGCAATGATCCAAGTTTGGGATGTTCTTTACTGGTAAGATAAAAATAACTGTAGAGGGTGGCCGGTCGGTAGCTCTAGAAAGTGATGGTATAGACTGATTAGTCATCAAGCAAGACCACATGTATTGACACGTGATTAGTCATAAATTTGGATGATAATTGTGGGTTAGTTGCTAAGATTCTTCTCCTCCCAATTTATTTATTTTATTAAAATATATCAATTTAAATTCTTAAATCATAAATCTTAAAATTTAAACTCTAAATATATAAATAATTTCTGATGAAAATAATATTAAACAACAATTAGCTATTACAGATTCAATACTTAAGAAAGTTTCTTTCAACATTCGTATTATTTATAGACTCGGATATCAATTATCCAAATATGTATTGTTTTTCAGATAAAAAATTCGTAAATACAACTTTCACCTTATGATTTCGATATACAAATAAGAATTTGTGATCTGATTTACTTTTAAAAATGTTGATTTATTTATTTTAATTAGATTTATTGATAAAAAAAGACTAGAATTTCCCGATGCAATTCTTGTAGCAGTAATCGACATATCCAGCTGCTTTCTTCAAGTCTGCAAAAAATCAAAATAAAAGCAAAAAGATTAGTTTTCTTATATAAAAAAAACAAATTAAAATGATATTCGATTCTTACAAAAGGTTAAAGTTCTTTACCGGATTTGAAGATTTTGGGCATGGTTTCTGCACAACGACTAGTACATTTGTAGATCAGAACTGAGTGACGGAGCAAACATTTCTTCTTGCAGAATTTGAGGCATATGTTGCGAAGGGGAGGAAAGGTTTCTTTGAGGCATTTCTGCCCACACTTGTGAACACAAGTGTCTTCTGGAACTGATGGCGACGGCGGAGGAGATGGTGGAGGCGATTTGATTTTACGGCGTGCATCTTTTCCATATTGGAAGGACTCTACAGGGTATTCAAATTCTTTGGGAAATTCATTATCAGATAACTGAGAAGTTTTCTCGGGAAAATTTAGGATTTCTAATGAATCATAAGGACGTTCAGTTTCAGAATATTGGGTTTCTTGGAAATCCTGAGTAAATTCAGATTGTGGAAGTAATGAAGGATCATCAAAACCTGATTCAGGAAAATATTGGGATTCAGAAGAATACTTGGAGGCTTCAAAATCCTGAGCAAATTCAGATTCAAAATCATAGCGCTCAAATCCATGGACTTCGGCAGCAACAAGAACAAGCAAAGCAGAGACTAAATTGGTTAGTAAAATTGATTTCTTCATTGTTTCGATTGTTTCAAAACTGCTTAATCTTTTGATGTAGAGTTTAGAGAAAAATCAACAGATTTATAGCCTTTGAAACATTGAAATTCATGCTATTAATTGCTCCATAATCTCTAATTGACGGATTAATTTTAAGAGATCGAACAAATCTAGGCGTTTTTCCCAAAAAATTACCGGTGACCAATATATTTACCGATCTAACACCGGTCAGACTATATTTCTATATCTAACACCCTTAGCAGTAAAGCGCCCCCCTGAACTGCGCTATATACTGATTTAGCGCCACATGGGGTAAGGCGCGCCCCCTGCACCGCGCTATATGCTGACATGGGATATACGTGGGTATAGCGCGGATCAGGGGCCGCGCCTTACCTGTGTATCTGCCACACATCAGAAAAGCGCGCCCCTTGCCCCACGCTATATGTTTAATTACCCCCATACCCTGACGCTTCACACCCTAATCCTCCCTATAAATATCCACATCCTCAATTACTTTTATCACACCAAATTCTCTCAATTTCTCTAACTTCTCTTAAATACTCTTATATTCTCTGTTTAAGGTATATTTTATTATATTTTTAATATTTTGTATTTAATTTATTTAAGTATTTTAATTTATTTAATATTTTACTTATATAATTTTTTTTGCAGATATATAATGGAAGGCGGTCTACTTCGCTTGGATGAAAATCATATATCTCGACACTTTACTGATATGGTAACATTTTAACGTTTTAATTTAATTTAAATTATTAGTAATAATTTGTTGATTTATTTAATGCGTGATTATTAGATTAAGAATTAATTTTTGTAATTAATTTTTTTAGGAGAATAACAGTGTATTAGATCCTTTTATTAGGAACCTTAAGTTAGTGATACCTAGCTGTGTCTTGCCGTATTTAGTAGAGGATGAATTGAGTTACATAGGTAGATATCAGGGTCACTGTAAGATAGAACCAGACCTTATCTCTGTCTTAGTAGAGCGGTGGAGGTCGGAGACCCACACATTCTATCTTCCGTGCGGAGAGTGCACGATTACACTTGAGGATGTTGCTATGCACCTGGGGCTTCCGGTGGATGGGGATGTTATATCAAGGATCGCGCAGGGTTCTTGGACTACTTTGTGTAGGGAAAATCTAGGACGTGTCCCAGAAAGTTTTAACGGTGGTCAGATACCTTTAAATTGGTTAGATGCCAATTTTCTGGAGTTGAGCGAGGACGCGTCTGAGGATGAAGTTAAAATGTATGCACGGGCATGCATACTGCAGCTGATAGGAGGGTTATTGATGCCGGACAAATCGTGCAACCAAGTTCACTGCTTGTGGTTGCGACATCTGAGCGACTTTCATCTGGTCGGATCATTCAGTTGGGGCTCGGCAGTTTTGGCTTCGCTTTACAGGGAGATGTGTCGAGCCATTGACTATAGGCGTAATGCTATCGGCGAATGCCTGCTGCTGCTGCAGTATTGGGCATGGTATCGATTGCCCTTTTTTATGTCTCGTTGTGAAGAACTCATTCGTATTTCCACTACTATTGAGGTAATTATAAAACTGATTTCTTATATTAATAATTTTATAAAGCGTATAATAATTTTTTTTCCTTGAATAGGTGGTTTACTGATAGGAAAAATCATCAAGAGCTACCTTATGATTTAGAAAAAATTAGGGTGCTAATCGATCAGAAGGCTGGCATACAGGTATGAATTTTAATGTTTAAAAATCGATTTTAGATTATAATTATATAATTAGATTATTCTTTTGATAAAATATATATATATTTATTTTAGTTTGAATGGGTGTCATATTCTACTGATGATGTGAGGGCGGTGATCCCACCTGAGTTGAGGGGCCCATTAGATGTTTGGATAGCGATGGTCCCCTTGATCTGTTATGCGACTGTCGAGTGGCACTCCACTGATCGCGTGCTCCGGCAATTTGGTTGTTTTCAACTAATTCTAGAAGCACCTCGTAATATGGACGAGTTGCATAGCACATATAGACGCGGCAAGACAGATACAGATTGGCTGGTGAGGCATCATGAGTGGGTTGTGTTGTGGGAGGATCGACATCGGCGTCTTCCCCGTAGAGAGCCCATTTTTTATGACCTCTTGATGGTTGCTGACGTTTATTATGAGTGGTTCAAAAATAACGGGAAACTGTTTCTGCTTCCCGAGGATGCACGAGGGCAGACCTTTCCACGACGTCGATAGAGACGTTCACCAACACATCACCATCGTCCCCCGACTCGTGGACGGAGAACAGGTGCTTCTGGTTCATCCTCAGCTGCACCAGCAGGTCCTTCACAGCAGCCACTGTATCTAGCGACTTACATACTGCAACCATATATGATGCTGCCACCGCTTTTCCATTACCTGGTTTTATGACCCCGCCGCCGCCACCGTCACAGATGACCCTTCTTGGAGGCTATTATGGGTCTATGTTTACAGATCCAACTTGGGGTTCATATGCTAGATATTTGGCGGGTTCAGCCTCATCACCCATGGCCGCAGCACAAACACCTCCTGTACAGTTTTCACACTCAGCGATGTCTGGGTTTTATGAGTTTTCCCAGTTTTCGCATGCCGGTGGGATAGTCAGTCATACACCTACAGGGTCCTTATTCTACGGAGGTGCTTCATCGTCATCATCTCCTTATCAACTAATGTACCTACTCAGGAGGACAACGATGACGATGACGACGACAACGACGATGACAGCGAGGAGTCACAACCAGTGATACGAAGAAATCCTCCTCAAGATCGACAGCCACCGCCCTGCAAAACACATTCGCGTCGTAGGCATCGATAGATTTTGTTTTTTATTATATTTGTATT